TGCACGGATGGATCAGCTGTATTCTATCTGGTAACGGTTAATGGATCTGGACCTTGCGAACGTCGCCGCCGCACCACATCGTGGATGACGCCAGCGAGTGATAGAAACGAAAAGAAACAAAGCTGGGACCTGCACGAGTGAAGACAAGCCACTAAGTATCTAAGTATTTATGTGCACCCAGTTAATCCTGAATTCTTTGAAAATTAGGCATAATGGAGTATTCGACGGATTAATTTTCATATCCTCCTTCCATATAGTCAAGATCAAATATTTTTCAAAATGGGGTTAGCTTACTTGATTCCTTCGATTTATAATGTTATCGAATGCTGTTAATTGTTCATTCAGATAACTTTTAGAATGTTACTTCCTGTGAAGAAATCAGCATAAGACTACCTTCTTTGAAATACTAGTGAGGATGTAAAGAAAAGTCAGCAATCTGACATTTGGAAAAGAACGAAGGTTGGGCTTACTTGCAACCTTCTGCATCCACTCTTCCGCGGCAAATGAAAAAAACGGCACTAGCATCACCTATTTGTATGGTCACAACGCTTGGTTGCACGCTAACAAAACACTTCTTTTTTCCACGATGTAAGCTTCACAGTCATAAATATGTTCATTTTATCAAAAAATATGATGGAATAAGGTTACAAATGCCCGTACTACAAAAACATTGCTGGCATGAAGTACGAAATGAGATGATACAAATAGACATAGACAACAATCCATTATCGTTCACCAATTAGTCGTGGAGAATGCTCTCCATGACTAAGTGGTGAATGCTTGCATATACCAAGTTCCTGAATTCTTGGAAGAAGTTTCCATAACAAGTATGCACCTTATGACTGAGGTTGGGGAAAAATTATTGCAAGGATGTCAATGGTGGGTGAACCTGGTGTGATTTACTCTCCGCAGTGAGAGATCGCCAATAGGGTAGTGCAACCAGTTGATCACTCCAACGACTTCAGCATCCGACTCATCCTGTATACAAACATGATTTGGAATCTTATCAGTTGGCAGATAATTATCAGCTGATTATTCATTCACGCTCTACTATCTAACGGACAAAACATAGAGGATTTTGCAGTGAGGCGCGTTCCAACAATGGCAAATCTCATAACATGACCAGTGCAGTTCGCGAGTACGAGCTAATCGAGTTGTAGTACAAGTTTAATCTCTTAATGTAAGAACCTCGACCACGAGTAACTGAGGATTGAGAGTGATTGCATAATTCGTATAATGCGACTTAACTCTTTTAAAAAGATCTCCCTTTTGCTTACCTCTTCCATGTTTTCTCTCGAATATTTATCAGTATGTTCAGTCGTATTCTAAATTTAATGCTTAGAGAGCGTAAAAAATTTAGACTCGATGTTACTGCAGTTCTCCGAATCATCCGTATAGTTAAACAATCTGAGGCATTTTTTGAGACGCCCGGTCCTGTTGTAATGTCGCTTGTGTTCACTATCATTATCTGTGCTTAGTGATGATATTATCATTGACAAAAATTAGTTGTCATGGTAGTTTTTCAGAAGTTATTAAAATGATTTATAACAAGCATCTTTTCACGCTTTTTTACTTGGAAGAAAAGAGTACAGATCGTTTCGCTAGATATAAGACTATTACTCTGTTCTTTTGTAGTTCGTCTTACATTTGTTCATGATTGTTCGTAAGGTTTATTTTAAGACTTGTTTGTATTAGCAGAAAATCCACATCAACACAAAACAGAATACAGCTTGAACTCACCTTGTATTCAGATGACATCGAAGCAAATGTGCATAGAAGTACTACTGTAACCATGATAACAGCTACGGCCAGAGTGCAAAACAACAACAGAGCCAACAGAGATGAACGCGACATTTGATAATATGAGCGGCAGACATAGCACTAAAGTTCTCAGGGGTTTTTGTTGGATTGTTGGGATCCCTCTATAGTGTATTTGCAAGTCCACCAATACTTACCTCGTAATATTTTTCTCCTCGTGAATAGTACTCATCATCATTCATAATATTCAGCTGTGTGGCATCTTCGGCGGTAATGAGACGCCGAGTCTCGTCATCTCGATAAAAGTAGGATACGTTAAGTTTCAACTCTTGTGAAATAGGCTTAGTCATCTAAAAAAATTAAAACCTTGCCATAAACAAACTTGGACGAGTTAGACATACACAGCGATAGCACAAAAAAAAAACAAAAAAAGTGTGACAATAGCTGTTTTCTGAAGGACAGAACGAGGGCAAGGGAGCTAACCCGAGAGAGAAAGTATATTTGCTCCAGAAAAATCTCATGACTCCGTTTTTTTA